GCCTTATCATCTTTCTACGAAATTCAATAATGCCGCACGTGCAATAGTGCAGTGTGAGAAGATATTTGTTTATAATGTTTATAAATTCGAGCAGCCGGACATCGGCGCTCGCCTTATCATCTAATTCTAATGTTACGCGCAATAGTGTGCGAGCGGCTCTTCCTGGAAAAAATGAAGAGACCACCGCGATGGTTCTATTTTGTTTATAATAAATTGGACATCGGGGACATCGGCGCTAGCCTTATCATCTTTCTATGAAATTCAATAATGCCGCACGTGCAATAGTGCAGTGTGAGACGATATTTGTTTATAATGTTTATAAATTCGAGCAGCCGGACATTGGCACTCGCCCTTTATAATACATCGCGCTGTTTATGCTCCCGCGATAAGCTCCCCCGCTCGCGTGACGTCATTCCCCCGCGCCACGAAAATCCCCCTCTGTCCGCGTGACGTCATGCCCCCTCGCCAGCGCGGGACCCCCCGTCCCTCACCTCCCCTCAGAGGACCTGAGTTAGAACCCGCGTACTAATACTACTTTTAACATTGCTTATAGCTTTTTCGTAGTCCCTACTCTTCACACATCTGGGCTTCTTTACAATTTTCAAAGGCAGTTTTAAGTATAGAATCACTATTAGAGCCAATTATTCATTTGATTATACGTTCGAAAAAACTTTTAAGTGCTAAATCAGGCCTTTCACACTCTCTAACAACGAGATTATTTTTCCAGAAGTAAAGTTAGAATTTTACATTCTCATTTTTAATGTACTCTGTTAAAATGAGCCTAATAAAAACTTATTTCATCTAGAATGCTATTCAGCTTTTATTGAGATGCACCACAAGAAAGAAAAGAAAAATTTGATAAATAAATGAAGACGCTATTTGAGTATCTACATCAATTTCCTTATTGAAACAAAAATAAAAATAATATATGATAACATATGATTATAAATATATACGTTTATAAATATATATAAAATATATATGATCATTAAATATTTTATATGAAAATTTGTATACCAAAAAAGGACCGAAACGTACGTTTATTAATTTTAAATTTATAAAAACAACTAACTTAATGAAATTAATCCTTAAAGTATAGCAGTTTTTTCTATTAATAATTACTAGTTTTTTTTCTTTACTTTATACACTGTTAAAGAACTCTCACAATGAAAAGAACACTTAAAAAAATGTGTAATATAGTTGTGTTTACATGTAAAATATAAGACATTGAATTAAATAAAAATTTTTAATATTTTATAATATTTCTTAGCATAGATGATCATAAAATATAATAAACATTCTAGATCTTAAATATTTTTTAAAACGAAGTCTTTCAACAAGTAAATACAAAGAATCAGAAAACAATATACTCCAAAAAGTTAGTATTTAAAAATGAAAAACGTCTTAATAATAATAATGTTAAAAATATTTTGCAGAAGAAGAAGGAAAACAAAGAAAACGTCAATGCACATCACCCAAGCCATCAGCATCAAAGTCTTCACAAAGTAGCAGTAACAGTGCTTCCAGTGAATCATCATCAGATAGTTATTAAAATGAGTTTAGTATTACCATATATGAGTATCTAAGTTATATTATTTATTTTATATAAATTATATTTGACATATTTTATACTCATTTATATATTTAAAAAGTTAACTCGTTATAAAAATAAAATAATGTACAATATAATTATATACAGTATTGATTTTTTATTTAGAATCACTTATACTGTTAAAATTATGTTTTACATACATCAATTACAACGAAAAAGCAATCAAACAAACTTTATAGTTCCTATATAACTTCACCCAGATTTCAGAAAAATGATGTGTTTTCCCAACATTACGTGATTTTTCAAAATCACATGATTTTCAAACATCACGTGTTTTTCAAAAATCACATACTGATTTGGAACATTTCGTTACGTGATTAGTTATGTCATTAATTATTTAATTTCATTACGTGATTTTGTGATGTGATTTCATGACGTGATTTTTTTCAGTAGAGACGGTTCTTACGAATGGCCAATCAGATTGCGACGTTGTTTGACATCACAGTTCGGCGCGATAAACGAAGCATTCATAAACAAGCTACATAACCACAGAAATTTGGGTGAATATCGGATTGGAATCTTGTGAAAATAAAATCGTAAAATGGATCATTCGTACGACAAAATGTATTATACGGACTCCGAAGATACACAAGATATGTATCCAGATATGAGTGTCCCCGTGACCGAATTGAATACTGAAGCTGATGCTACTTTCATCGACATCGTGAGAGGTTATCCTTATATTTATGCAAAGAATTTAAAAGATTTTAAAGATAAAAATGTACGTGAACGGTCATGGGTGGAAATAGCATCCGTTCTAAATTGCTCAGATATGTGGAATTATACAGATTTGAAACTAAAATATATTTACAGAAATAAATACATAAAATTATTTACAGTGGAAGATTGTCAGAGGCGATAGTTACGCTTGAGGAAATTTTTAAAAGAGCGAAGGTTACGGGATGCAGAAACAAGGAGCGGTAGTGGAAGTACTACAGGAAGAAAAGAATTTTCTTTATATCAAAATATGATGTTTCTTTCGGAACATATTCAGTCAAGAAAGTAAGTAATGTAGCTAAAAAATATAACAAGCATTCTCGAAAGTATATTGTTTTTGAATTTCAATGTTTTAGAACCTATACAAACTTGCACTCCGCCAATCAACAACAACCGGTGAGCAATGCACACGCAGCGTTCATTGCTCACCGGTTCAACAATCACCAATTCCTCAAAATATTCCACTATCGAGAAACTCTGCATTGCTTCCAATACGTAACTCAACACCATCACCTAGTTCTCACAATTTCACTGTTTCCATGACATCTCCACAATCCATTCTGATTCCTCAATCCTTATCTGACTTTGAAGTGCCAACAAATCCAGAGGCTTCTTCACAAGAAAACATTTCAACATCTAAGAGAAGATGTAAGTAACCTATTTTTAATGTACTGGCAGCGATTTAATATTTTTCATAGTCTAACAACTTTTGATCTTGTATTATAGCAGAAAATATGCAAGAAGAACAGAATAATTCTTTTGGTGGATGGATTAAAAAAAAAGACGCGCTGATATAATTGAAACAAATTTTTTGACAGTATCGTCAGAATTAAGTTCCTATCTCAGAAATTCCCAACATACAACAAAATCAAATGAAAGCGATGTGGAGTCATTTGGAAAATGGATTTCTTGTGAATTGGGAAAATTGCCTGAAATGGATAAAAAACAGAAAATGGAAAAAATTACACAAATTATATTTAGTTAAAAAGTTTTTTTATGTATTCTAGATATTCGGTTAACAAAATAAATTATATTTCGTTATTAATAAGTTTAATTTAAAAAATAAGTATGCGCACCAACTACCGCGCCGGCTCTCACTTGCTATTGATTTGTATGTGATTTTTAATTTAAGTGGACCTGTACTTCTTGTTTTATTATGAAAATTTGTATTACCTGTTTTTTATTCTCCGTTTGTTCCTTTTCTGATATAATCGTACTGCCACGGAATCTCTCCTGCTCGGGTTACAAAGTAATCTGCTAAAATGTCGCGTTGCTCCATTGCGTTTCTGTTCGCTCGATGTGCATTAGTAGGTTGTAACCGTTGTGGCTGCATCCGTTCATTCCTCCAAGTTCCTTCAATTACTTGACCGTTTTCTAATTCTGAATCGATGAAGTATGGTGGACAGTATAATTGTTTTTCCTGCGTATGTTTTTCATCATGTGTCTTTAAAAAATTATGAAGACATACAATACTTATTACTATCTGGTCAATGGCTTTTAAATCCAAACAAATTGGTTGACGATAAACTCTCCAACGTGCAGAAGGTATTCCGAATGCATTCTCTATTGTTCTTCTAGCACGAGATAGTCTATAATTAAATATTTGCTTTTTCTCTTCCAATCTTCGTCCAGCGTAAGGCCTCATAAAATTTTTCATCAATGGAAAAGCTTGATCACCGATGAAATAATATGGCGTTGATTGATTACTGCTAGGAAGTTGTATCTGCTTCATGTCTAACTGCTTGGCCTATTTCAGATGAAGCAAATATGCTTCCATCGCTAATACTGCCATTAGCACCAACGTCAATAAGAGTAAATTTATAATTGGAATCGCAAGCAGCCATTAGGACAATGCTGAAATTTTTTTTATAATTGAAGTAGACGCTTCCAGAATTTGGCGGAGCCTGAATGTTTACGTGTTTTCCATCGAACGATCTAACGCAATTCGGAATATTCCAATTTTCAAGAAAATCTGTGGCGATTTCTTTCCATTTTTCTGACGTTGGAGGGAGCACATATAGTGGAGCCAATATTTTGCTTAATACGGTACAAGTGTGCTTAATGACCGAAGATGCTGTTGACTTTCCGATTCTATATGCAAAAGCGACAGAAAGCAGTTGATCACCAGTAGCCAGATAACTGTAATCATGACAAACATTCAGTTTATCGTGCCCCGCATCGTATAAGTATTTTGATCAACTAAAAAGAAATAATATACGTGCTCCATATTTGATTTGTTTGCAGTAGTTGTACATATAAACTAAGCAAACTAAAGCGTTTGAGCTAGCACTCTACACTTTCAGTTTCAGTTCTTTTGTACACTGAATCTATCCTACAAAATAGTGCACAGTACACTTCTAGTGTATTCTGTGCAAATAGCATAAACAAACCTATTGTCCATGCAATTTTAAAATACATACGTGATTAAATACGAGTGGCACCCGTTTGACCACGTTAATATTGACCACGGTCCCAATTGACCACGTTGAGATTGACCACGTTGCGATTGACCACGTTGATATTGACCACGGTCCAATTGACCACGTTAATATTGACCACGGTCCCGATTGTCCACGTTGATATTGACCACGGTCCCGATTGAAAAACCATGTAACACACACACACACGCACGCAGAGTGAGGAGTAAGAAGAGACTTAAAACTTTTAAGAGCAAATGGGAATTGCCCATTTCGTTACTCTCGGTCTTTACATCACTAAAAACAGTATACTCTCCTACTCCCACAGCCTTGTTACTGCCATTGTAGAATGCCCTTAAGAAAATCGACCGATATTGACCACGGTCCCGATTAATCACGTTTATATTGACAACGGTCCCGATTGAAAAAACATGTAACACACACACACACACACACATGCGGGGGGTGCAAGGGGGCCTTCGGCGCCCCCTCCCGCACTCCCTCCGCCAGTCAGGCACAATGGATCTCGCTTTACAACTTACAAAGTACATGCCCTAGTAACGACATGTATTGATCCGTGCTCAATCGGGACCGTGGTCAATATCAACGTGGTCAATCTCAACGTGGTCAATCGGAACCATGGTCAATATCAACGTGGTCAAACGGGACGCTTCCATTAAATACATATGACTAACCTCAAAGTCAGAGACAATCGTTGTTCTGGGCACAGAGCTCTCCAATTTTTTTTCTTTAAAAATGGTTCAACTAATTCCAACAATGAATAAAAAACGTTGACGCTCATTCTAGTATATCGGAAAAACATTTCCGTATCATCTTTTAGCTCTTGAAATAGAGCATTAAAATCTCCTTGCTGGTTACGGTTCTTGTTGATATTTCTAACCCACCATCTCCGATTAATCCAACGCTTAGCATAATTTCTTCTGTGTAGGATAATGTACGCAGACATCCAATGATACATATGAAATAATGGTGTGTCCTCCATATGCTGAAAAAATACAATGAATTCTATTTAACCTTTCCTTCGTTTAAAAATTAAATATCTCAGTCAATCAGTTTGTTTCTTTATTATTCCAATTATATCAATTTATAATAGAATATTGAATGCATAAATTTGTACTCACTCAAAGATAATAAAATGAAAAATTTATTCCACAACAATCAATAATTTAGTCTTAAAATTTACAAAATATTTCTCAAATATTTCACTGACAATTCACTTCTATAATGCAGCAAATGAAGTCAAGCCTGCCGTGGTTACCGTGGCAACGTTGCGTTACGGAACGTTGTGTGTTTTGCAGACTTTACATTACGTTTACGGTTACTGTTACGGAAAGTGTGTGTGGCCAGCTTCTATCTCGCTCGCACGTAGCATAGCGAAAGAGAACGCTATGCTACATACGAGCGAGAGAGAACGCAAGGGGCACGAAACAGAGTATGTCCTTTTCTACAAGCATCTTTACCCCCACTCCTTAAATAAAGGCAAACGCTCGGTCTAGATATATTATGTCTATGGTCTGTACACATCGGCCATATTACATATCCAGTTCCTATCCTCTTCTTTCCTACTAATTCCTACTTAAGTCACGCATGCGCAGATGTTTACATCTCATACGTAATATTAGGTGTACAACTTTGCTTCCGCCGTTTTCCTATAGATGGCTTTAGCGGTAAGTAGTGGTCGAAATAAATAGATCATAGATGTCATGCAATAAACCTGGGCATCTGTCAACATAATCCCATAGAAACATTAGTCGATTTGTGTCTGCATCATAAAGTTATTCTCGATTGAAAATGTCAGTTTACGAGCCAAATTCTCGTCATTTGCGGGAGGTTTTAATTTTCTGCTTCAATATGAAGAAACCTGCGGCTGAGGCTCATCGAATGTTCTCAAATACTTATGGTGAGGCCGCTATTAGTGAAAGAACGTGTCGTGAGTAGTTTCAACGCTTCAAGAACGGTGATTTTCACGTCGAAGACCGGCATAGCGGTGGAAGAGAGAAGGTTTTCGAAGATGCAGAATTGGAGGCATTACTTAATGAAGACTCGAGTCAAAGTCAAGAAGAATTGGCACGATCATTGGGAGTGACTCAACAAGCAATTTCAAAACGCCTCAAAGACATGGGAATGATTCAGAAGCAAGAAAATTGGGTGCCGTACGAGTTGAAACCGAGAGATGTTGAACGGCGTTTGTTCGCTTGTGAACAGTTGCTTGAAAGGCAAAGACGGAAAAGATTTCTGCATCGCATTGTGACTGGGGACGAAAAATGGGTTCATTACGATAACCCCAAGCGCAGAAAATCATGGGGATATCCCGGCCATGCTTCAACGTCGACGGCCAAACCGAATATTCACGGCTCCAAGGTCATGCTCTGTATTTGGTGGGACCAGCTCGGCATAGTGTATTATGAGCTGTTAAAACCGACTGAAACAATCACAGGCGATCGTTATCGAACGCAATTAATGCGTTTGAGCCGAGCATTAAAAGACAAACGGCCGCAATACAACGAGAGACACGATAAAGTGATTTTGCAGCATGACAATGCTCGACCCCATGTTGCGAAAGTGATCAAGACATCTTATCTCGAGAGCTTTTGAAAACACTATGATAAAGTATTTTTTCATTAATACTTTTTGGGTTATTTTATATTTTATTCTGACATATTTTGATATAAAAAATAAAATATCTCGTTAAATATTTAGTTTTCGATAATCTTATCGTAATACTTTTATGTACAGAATAATGAGACAAATCAATTAGTGAAAAAAATAATTGTTTTTAAGAAAAAGTATGTAATTATTTACAATGTATTTTTTAAAACAATTATTTGTTTTTTTCTTTACACTAATTGATTTGTCTTATTATTCTGTACATAAAAGTATTACGGTAAGATTATCGAAAACTAAATATTTTACGAGATATTTTATCTTTTATATCAAAATATGGCAGATTAAGATATAAAATAACTCAAAAAGTACTTGATAGAAAAATACTTTATTATAGTGTTTTGAAAAGCTCTTAAGATAAGCTACAAGAATATGTAATAAAAAAGGGGGGTTCCATTTAAGAAAACATCGGCCATATTGACCTCACCTTGAAATGGTCACTTAAGGTCAAATCCATATTTTTATCATGTGGCCCCCTCGAAACCATGCAACTTTTGTCTGAAACATTTTTTGATATCTCACTTCGTTTCCGAAAAATATGCCCGCGTCACTATAAATGCCGCACCCTGTATACATACACATACCTATATGTACATACACGTTGATATGTTTGTTTGTATTTTTGTTGTTTTTCAGTTTGACCCAATCAACCATCTCGGTTTAATATTTTCGCGTCAGACTGTATTTTAAACTGCCTTTACTTTATGCTTAAAATCTACATATATCTTATTGGAAGTCTTTCGCAAATCAAATCTCTCTTTATCACACTTGTCTGTATATTATCTGCAGCAACTTGCTGAGGTACATCATTGTCTACTTCATTATTTAAAAGAATGTCAAAATGATCACCTTTCAATATACAAATGTTATGCATGACACAACAGGCAAGTGTAAAATGTGCAATTAAATCGGTTCTATTCATAGGAAGGTGGTGTAATAAACATCGAAATCGGCCTTTTAAAAGCCCAAATGCTCTTTCAATAGCAATTCGCGCTGAAGAATGACAGAAAGTATAATTTTTTTGTCGTTCAGTCAAATGGCCATTATCACGATAAGGAACCATTAAATTATCATAAAGTCTATATGCAGCATCACCGACTAAGTGACAATCATCAGGAAATTTTTCTGAATTACCTAATGCATCTTGGATTTCTGAGAGACGAAAGATACGTTGATCGTGGACAAAACCAGCATGTCCAATGTAGCAATGGATGAAACGAGTTTTGTGATCACAAATTCCCTGTAAGATATAGAGTACATATTATCAGAGGAACAATTTTTTCTACTTAATACACTACGTACATATTACAAACCTGCAGTTGAATAGAATGGTGACCTTTTCGATTGATATAGGCCTCTGGATTAACACGTGGAGATGGGATATTGATGTGAGGGCCGTCTATAGCACCTATAACTTTTGGAAAAGAACTGATTGTTTCAAATCCTGCTCAAATTTCTTGAACACTATTTCCTGTTGGCCATCTGATAAATGGTGGTGCCAAATCTGCAAGGACCTTGATAACTCGTCGTGTTGTTAACAAAGCTGTTGATACACTCACATCAAACTTTTCGCATATTGATCTAAGATATAAAAAAGTTATGAATAAAAAATACATTACTCAGAGCAGATCTTATTATTGGATATGATATACTAACTTATAAGAATCTGGAGTAGCCATTTTCCAAATAGCGATAACAAACTGCTTCTCCGGAGAAATCATCTCTAATCCTGGGTAATTTCTTTTTAATTTTTGACCAATTATTGAGAGTACACATTCGAAAGTATCTCTGGATATTCTACGGAATATTTGAACTAAAATTAGTTTAAATATTTAGAAAAAAATCTCTTACTATATAAATAAATGTGCAACGCGAAATTTTATTTTATCGTATTGCAACATAAATGATATACTAAACATGGAAAGTTGAGCAAAAATGGATAATTCATTATTACCTAAAATGTGATTTAAATTGTTGATCTCTCCTCCTCTGATCTCTCCACCAGGAATCACCTCTTCTACATAATTTTTTAGCTTTGGAATTCGTTCGACGCACTGTTTCTAAATTACTAAGTGCATCCAACTCTTCTTCGCTATCAGATGATGATGACTCCATAAGTTCATTTAGGATATGAACGAAAACATTTATTGCTTTATTGTTATTTGCACTAACGTCGGCCATGTTGCGAATTTTACTCGGATGGGTTTGAGGTGCTTACTATCGCTATCGCGCTATTGGCTCCCCGAACAAAGTTTGTAGCGTTTGCGTTTATAGCGATAATAGCGTCTCCCCGAATGCAGCCCATGTATTATACGTATGATGTTTGAATGTGATTGGTTCTTACTCCTAGAACCAACAAATCAACGTCGAATGTTAAGGCCATTGCACGTTCAAAAGTTTTAGTCGTAATCGTAAGGCCGTAAGCAAATCGACCAATCACAGTTCAAACATTCTTATTACATTTTTGAATGCTTGATTGTGATTGATCGATTTGCTTACGGTCTTACGATTACGATTAAGGGCCAATTTCACCAAGTCCGGTTAGATGAACCGACGGTTAAAATTAGCAGGGTTCCAACTGAAATGATAAGAATGCTTGGTTTTCCTTCACTTCTATTTTCTGTTGGCCACCCGGCTAATTTTAACCGTCGGTTTATCTAACCGGACTTGGTGAAATTGGCCCTAAAACTTTTGAACGTGCAATGGCCTTTAAAAAAACAATGCTCAACGGTTGTGTTTTTTAAACGCACCTATAGATTACGCGATTTGGAAAAACTAAAAATAAATTTCAGAAATATGAGTCGTGGAGGTAGGCCGTGTCACAAATTTTGGGAGGAAGGAAATTTTGAAAAATATTATGAAGGTCAAAGACTTTTTGCATATTGTAGTTATTGCAAAAAAATCATACGTCATAGTGCCGAAAATAGATTAAGGGATCACAGTATAATTCCCTTTTGCACTTTAGGATCCTCTTGCACACAGGACGCGTCAACAAATTAAGCCTGTCACACACGCTTTTCCATAACTATAAGATTTCGACCAATCGCGTTGCTTTGGACCACCGAATCGAGCCTTATGCCTGTATCAGACTACGCATTGAAAATTGAAGATTAAAGATTGGTGTTTGAATCGAAAATGAACGTTGCGAGTTGTCTTATCGGCGGACAATGCAATGAAGGGTCCACCAGCGGTGCCACTGGCGCTGAGTGACGTGTTCCGGTTTGTTCGGCGCGCTTGAGTTAGTTAGTACCCTTCCGTTCGGTAGTATTCTAAGAGTTCTGTTAGCGAGTTATATGTATTCCATTTGTGTTCATTAAATATTTTATATAGTACATATCGAAAATTGATTTCATCCAGACGACAAAACATTGGTCCTTCGAGCCGGATCAAGGTGCAATAAGTCGAAGGTAATAATACAGTCCACAAAACGAAAGGTACGAGAAAAGTTAGGTTAATCGAGATAACACAATGGCCGAGATAACGAAATTTCGCAAGCAACGCGGATTTGCCAAATCAAAGTTGACTAGACTCGAAACAAGGGTTGTTCGAGTACAAGGAGATCAAATAAGTCGAGAAGATACCGAGATATATCTCGCAAGACTAGAAGAGATACAGAAAGAGTTCGAGAAAATACAGCATGAGATTGCTGCTATCACGGAAACCGAGATCGACGACGTGGACGCGGCAGAAGACGCGGAATTCGATGAAAGGTATTTCAAGCTGAAAGCTAGGCTAAAACGATGGCTAAATGGCATGACGGCACAACGAGCCGAAGCACGTTCGCCAGCGAATGACGAAGCGTTGACGCACGTATTACAACAGCAAGGCGAGCTCATAAGGCAATTGAGCTCTCAAAGTTGTGATTTGCAATCGTCGAGCAGTGACGGCACGCAGTCACGAGGTTACTAGAGCAGCAGACGCAGATACTGCGCAACCTCGCGAATGCGGGCGGAACTGTCAATCAGGAATCAAGGATTAAATTACCGGTTGTAAAACTTCCGACGTTTGACGAACAAACGGAGGAATGGAAGCGTTTTTCAGAAACCTTTCAGTTTATGATACATTCCAACGAGAATATACCAAACATTCAAAAATTCCAATATTTGGTTACATCCTTAGATGGTTGTGCAGCAAAGATCATCGAATCAATCCAGCTGACCGATGCAAACTATGCGGTAGCATGGGAATTGTTGAAGAGGCGATTCGACGATCCAAGAGCCATAAAAAAGAAGCATATTCAATGCTTGTTTACGATGCCGAAGATGGAGAAGGAGTCAGCCATGACAATTCGAGGCTTAGCGGATTACACGTTGAAGCGTTTGAGAGTGCTAAAATCTCTAAATTTGCCTACAGATTCGTGGAACGAGCTTATTATACATATGATCGAGGCTAAGCTCGATGCAGCAACTCTACGCGCATGGGAACAAAGCGTAATCGCGGCTGACGTAACTCTAGTGGCTTTGACTGATTTTCTGGAGAAGAGATGCCAAATATTAGAGAGAATCGAAACTAGGGTCAAGGATAAAGAGATAACACGAAAGACCGAATCGGACAAGAAAAAGGCGAAATCTCGTAGTCACGAGAAACCAACAACATTAGCTAATTCAACTGAAACTGGTAAATGCTATTTATGTCAAGGTAACCATTTTATGTATTGTTGTGATAAGTTTTTAGCGTTGTCAGTTGATGATCGAATCAAGGAGGTTCACCGGTTGAAGCTTTGTACCAATTGCTTACGCAATGATCACTTTGTGAAAGCCTGCAAGATGGGATCTTGCCGAGAGTGCTCTGGGAGACCCAACACGCTATGCCATCGTCAGACAACAGATAGGCATATTCCAGATGGCGCGAGCATCAGCGTGCAGAAGGCTCTATCCTCGAGCGATGAGGCGAGCAATAACGTTGTCGTTCACCATGCAGCGAACGAGCCAACCAGAAGATACGTATGGCCACCGCAGTGGTCAACGCAATTCATTCGAATGGATCCATCGTTCCTTTGCGTATCCTGCTCGACAGCGCTAGTGAAGCACATTTTATAACACACTCGGCGTGCAATCGATTAGGCGTAAAGCGCAATCGAACTTCTGAAATCACGGGATTAAGCTAGATTGAAAACATTGTGAGTCAATGTTGCGAGGTTGTTGTACAGTCGAGGCATTCTAACGTTTGCGTAACTATTCGCAGTCTAATTGTACCGAAAATCACGAAAAGATTACCGGCAGTACCGGCAGTCGAGTTAGATTATGACACGTTTAAAATACCGTCGAACATTAAACTCGCGGACCCGGAATTTTATAAACGAGTTTCTATCGATATGCTGATCGGAGCAAAATTCTTTTTTGACTGGCTAGAATCGGGAAGAATCGAACGCGGAGACAATCTTCCAATATTGCAGAATACAAAGCTTGGTTTAATAATGGCCGGATCGGTCGCGCGCATTGCTAACACGTCTCTACTTTGTAATCGCAACACACTAGCAACATTGATCTTGTAACGATACCGTTACTAACGGCCTAGCAGGCCGTTCCACCACGCGCTTTTCTAGGCTCGGCGCTCTTAAGCCACGCTCGCTTCCCGAGCTCATGCGCGAAACTCTGTACGCACCGTGCTTGCACGTCACCTTGCGAATAACAACCGCTCCCGCGCAAAACTCTGTACACACCGTACCCGCATGTTGCTTCGCATAGCTTTCAGTGTTAAATATCTTTTTGAATAAACCTAATTATTTAAACCGCTTATACAAGGCACAGTAAGTTGGAGTTTCCCCCTTCTCCCGAATCCTGGCACCGGCGAGCCTTGATCCGCGGCGTACGGGAAAGGTGAACCGTTACAATCTGCTCATTAGAACTTTGCGAGACTCTTAATCAAACTTTGAGTAAATTCTGGGAAATTGAAAATTATAATATCAATGCGATTCAACCGCGATCGGAGGAGTCAATAGAGAGCGATGAAATTTTCGAAAAAACAACTACACGTAGCGATGACGGCAGATTTGTAGTGTGACTTCCGTTTCTTGACGATCCGAAGCTATTAGGCGAATCGAGAGAGACCGCGAGGAAACGTTTGATGCAACTAGAGCGGCGTTTCAATAGAGATAAGATTCTGCATGAAAGATACGTAGAATTTATGTGCGATTATCTTGAGTCGGGACACATGTTGCCAGTGATCGAAACCAATCAAATCGTCAAGCGGCCAGTGGTATACTTACCACACCACGGTGTAATTAAGGAAACAAGTACGAGCACAAAGCTCCGTGCAGTCTTCGATGCATCAAGTAAAACTAGCTCAGGGAAATCGCTCAACGACATTCTTCGGGTCGGACCTACAATTCAGAGAAATTTGATTAATATTGTTATCCGATTTCGTTGTTATAATGTCGCGTTAACCGGAGATATTCAGAAAATGTATCGACAAGTACTCGTACACCCTGACGATCGAGATTGTCAACGAGTGTTATGGAGGTTTTCTGTTAACGAATCTATTCGGGAATTTCGCCTGAATACTGTCACATACGGCGAGGCGAGCTCGGCTTATTTAGCAATAAGATGTATTCATAAGATTGCGGAAAGATATAAAAACGAGCTTCCGACAGCATCATGAACATTGACCGAACAGACATACGTAGATGACATTTTAGCAGGTGCAGATAACGCTGAGGATGCGATTCTACTGCAGGAACAGCTCACGGCAATGCTGAAATCCGGAGGATTTCAGGCACACAAATGGTGCTCCAACTGCTCAGAAGTATTGAAGAAAATATCTCCGCATTTGAGAGAGGATATATCCAATCTTAGCATTGGCTCAAACGATACAATTAAAACACTCGGAATCAAATGGAGGCCCAAGGATGATCAATTTCAATTCTTCGTTCATGGAATGGAAGCAGCTAAGACCAAGTGTGAGATTCTGTCAGCAATTAGCAAGCTATTTGATCCACTCGGTCTCATAGGACCTGTAATAACGACAGCGAAGATCATCATGCAGACAACTTGGCGAACCGAATGCCGATGGGACGAGTCGCTGCCAGCTAATATCGTAGAAAAATGGGAACAATTCCAGAAGGATCTAAGTACAGCCGAGACGGTTCTCATCCCAAGACGAATCATTCCAAGTGAAGCCATAACAAGCATATATCTACAAGGACTTTGCGACGCATCCGAGAACGCATATGGAGCGTGCTTGTACGTTCAGACCAAGGACGAGCGCGGCGTACTAAAATCCAGACTATTATGTTCTAAATCACTGGCGCCGATTAAGCCGACATCTATACCCCGATTGGAGTTATGCAGCGCGGTTCTGCTCGCTCATTTAATTACGGAAGTTAGACGAAATTTAAATGTAAACATCGATGGCATACAAGCCTGGACAGATTCTCAGGTAGTACTATGGTGGATTCGTAGTGACGCGGCACGATGGAAACCCTTCGTAGCGCATCGCGTTGCCGAAATCGTCGAGTTGTTGCCGGCCAAACATTGGAACCACGTAAAGGGCACGGAAAATCCCGCAGACATAATTTCACGAGGTACAACTCTGCGCCAACTTAAAAACTCCAGGCTGTGGTGGTCGGGACCGCACTGGTTGCAAGAAGAAGCTCTATCCGATTCTGGAAATATTGAAATAGTCGAGCTGACAAACGAAATGTCCGAAAAAATCCAAATAGAGGAACGAAAAAACGCGCGAATCTGCGCAATTGTTAGTAACGAGAACTCGATACTCCAGGAGTTGATTGATAAGTTTTCATCACTAACACTAATAGAACGTGTATTAGCATATTGTATGCGCTACATACTTAAGAGGATGCCGGATTACCGACAGAATGCAAATATTAGTTAAAATGCAAAATCTTTTTGTTGATTATAGATATCATCAAATCCTTTTCCACAATTAAGGTATACATAATAACGGAGTGCGGAATTTAACATTTCATATGAAAAGTAAAAAAAATGAGAAAGTTACAGTTATGTTATCGGCTTCTGCAGTCAACATTTACTTAATATAACAAATTTGTAATCTGCACGTGGCTAATGAGTAAACCCCGCACTCGGCATTTCATCAAAAAGTATAAGTGAACTTAGAGTAGTGAGTTTAGAAGCT